GAAGCAAACCCCCCTTTTTTCCTCTCCTTCTCTGCATGCATAATCTCCACCCTGACGGAAAACTTTCTCCTCCCCTCTCAAATGAAAAAAAGGCCCTTTCTGAGCAAAAGGAAACTGCTAGAAATCAACACACCCGTTCTTTTTAACCCATCTTCGGACAGCAGCGACTTTTGCCTCTTATCCCAATGCCCAGCTCAAGTGCCGGACATCTGGATAAACCTGGAATAAATTCAGACTCCACATGGTCACTAGAGAAGCCCCGGACATTGCTTTAGCCACCCCCTGAAGTAAGTGCTAAAAGATTATTTTTCATCATGTTTCATTTCAGTTTTAGAAAAAGCAAGACTTTTTACAATAACAGTAAAAACATAAGGAACAACACAGAAATAAGTGTACCAGTTTATAATACAAAACCATCTCCACCTACTGAAAATAAAGTATTGCACCTTAATATAAAGATAGCTTTATTTTTAGGCAGAAATTAGTTTGAGAAGCTATCAGATGTCAGAAATAGATCAGATTCTTTTTTCCCCCAAACCATCAACAGTTACTAAAGCTTTTTTTATATGTATGTATTTATTTATTAGACACATTTATATGCCGCCCAATCCCGAAGGACTTTGTTATAGCAGTAACAAAGTGTTAAGTCCATTCACTTAGCATATTACAATGTTGTTCAGCTTTAAAATAATGAAAATGAAATATTTTCAAATCTGCAAATTAGAATCATGGACATGATAGGATTTTTGTTTGGTTTTGTTCTGGTTTTAATTTTAGCTAGTTTCTAACTTTTAGGCATTAGTCTAAGGGTGGGGCTCTATTGCACTAGGATGACACATGAAACGCTTGGCATGTGCTTTTCTTGGCATGTGTCCTAAATGACATTACTAATTATTGTAGTGATTCCACTGCAATGAACAAGGAATAAATGTGGATGTGGGTAGAGATACGGACAATGGATCTACACTTTTCACTCCCCCAACCTACAGTCTCCACATTTATTGGAGATTTAAGGCAACAAAAGTTGAAAGTATTGCCTAAAAGAGAACTGATCTGGCTTCAGTCCTTGAGCCTCAAGAGAACGTGACTCAGGCATATATATTAATTTGTAGAAAGGAGTTTGTCTGTATAAATTATTATGATTGTGTACACTGAATTTCAAGTACAAGATTTCAGGCACATAAACAGATAAATAGATTACAGCTCTTAATGGGTAGATAATAAATGAAGATGTTATCTAGCTAACACTGGTAGGAGAACAATTTCAATCAAGGATAACAAATTCAATGGAGCAATATTATGAGGTACCCACATTTGAAAGAAGCCTGATTATTTAATATTCCCCACTCCATCCGGGTTGCTACTCAGAAAAAGAAAATATAAACAGCTCAGGCTGACTGTATAACTATGAGCAAGAATCCTCCAGATCTCCTAGAACTTCAATCTCCAGAATTCTTAGTCAGCATGTACTCTTGCAGGGTTAACACATTGGAGTCTTAATGCATGTGAAAAAGATGTTCCAGGTGACCAGGTCCTAATAATAGGATGAGTTGGGAAACCAAACCCTTTATCACCATAAGTTGCATAGCTAAAGCAGATAATTCTTTGCTAATGGAAGCTTCTATATTGCTTCACCATAATGCCTCCATATACTATACATATCCTTTTCATTCATATTAAATCATCTGTCCTAGGTTAATCCTGCCAACATTCATACCTGATAGATTGAAAGTTTATTTTGAGGCTAGTTTGATTCTGTTCCATTACATTTGTAATGAAAATAAAACAGCAAGAGCTTTTCCTTCTGTAGATAGGTAATAAACCTAAATTTTCTTCTTTTATCTTTGGTTTACAACTTACATATTATTTCATTGTTCCTTCTCTTTGGCAAGAGTACACTTTGAAGTGTCTATATTATACATATTTACATGTTTTAATCATTTACATAGCAGATGAGTCACTTAAATATTTAAATGAAGAAGCAAGCCTAGTAAATAGTGTATGTCTTGAATGTAAGCATTACTCCAGGACGGCTTTAACTGAGCTTGCTGATCATGGATACGCAGTGGTGTGTGGAAGGCTTCCCATAGTCCAAAGAAAACATGTACGTATGAAACTTTTCTTCTGGAAATTTCAGCTAATGCTAAGCAGGCACTCTTGAGCTGATGCAAGTCACAATTTTAGTTAGGCGCTTGGAGACAGTGAATTCTTTCCATACACAGACATCTAAAATAGGGAAATGGTGTTTTAACATTATTTTAATTTTCTTGCTGCTTCCAGAAGAGAGGATAAATTGAAAGAAAGCTGAGATACTGTTTTATGGGCCTTCAAGTGTACTATACTGTACTTGTTTCAAAAGAGAACAATGTAACTGACTCTAGCTAGAAAAGGCAGGAACTTGCCCTAGAACAGTTAAAAATAACATGCTAAGTAAAAGGAAAATAAAAATAAAAATGACTCTCTTGAAAAAGCAGAAAGCTTGCCAATGGAAAAGGAAAGGGTAGAAACTTCAGCCAGCCTTATATCCTGTAGTATAAGAGCAAGCAAATAAAGCATTAGGGATATGTTGCTGAAGCTATATAAGCTGAATGAATATAAGTACTTGCAATTCAGTATCTTGCAGTGCTTTTGCATAAAATAACAGTAAAACAAACCAGGAAAACATTTTTATAGCTAAAAATTAGGGAGCAAAAAAAGAGGAATACATGGAACATTTTTACAAATCTGAGATAAGAGATAAAAGTTAAACCGTACAAGAGAAGCAGTTCCATTAAGTATACTGGTAAAGTATTTAAAATCCAGTTCGAATTGGATGATTACATCAGAGTATCCAAGATGCAGTAATCACAGCCAGAGCAATAACTCCCATACTGAAGAATACATTAAAGGCAGAATAGCTAATGCTTTTCAATATTTATACAGGCATCCCTGTTCTCTGGGATGATTTTCTTTGGAAACTACTTGGCATTTTACACCATTTCATTTTTAAAGGGGCAGGTTGATCATACAACTTAATGGCAGAGCTGCAGCCGGTGCAGCTGGAGCGTGTTTGCAGTAGTGCCTCCCGGTTTTATTTTATTTTATCAATTTTTAGTACTCTTACTGGATTCTTTTTTATTTAATTAACATTTTTTGGTGGAGATAACAGCGTAGAACGTAATACAAACAAAAACTTTTGTTGCTGCCGAAGAATTAAATAAGCATGGGAAAAAGAAAGAAATG